TTGCTGAATAAAACTTCGAGGTGAATTAAAAGCCGGGCGAGCAAAACTCTTTGTCTAATGCGTCGTTACGCAGACCTGATTATAAGCTTGCTCATGCTACGACTCTGTCGTCATCTATTGTAGATTTAATTCGTGCGGCATAAGCACGTGATGAGTAATGTGTAGCATTGCTACATGCTCTTGTAAGCGAGGTGTTTCAAGACTCGGACATCAAATTGTTGGCACGTTTACGTGCGAGCCTACTCCGATGTGTCATCGATGGTGGGTTACTGTGATATTGCACAGATGTTGAGGAATTGCCTCTCATCGTTGTTCCTAATGATGAAGACTTGAAGTATCGTATCCTATTTGAAGCACATGACACTGCTTTGAGCGTTCATCTAGTTCGTGAGAAGACATATAGCTTAGTTATCAAGATGTATTGGTGACCCAAGCTGTACAAATGGGTGAGTACATATGTGCGTACGTGCGAAATGTGTCAACGAGTCAAACCTTCAGCACATGCGGTTGCACCGCTTGCTAGTTTTCCTGTACCCACTGGGTGTTAGGATTCCATCAGTATGGACTTTGTGATGGACTACCAAAAGATTCGGATGGCAACAATGGTATGTGGTCTTTGTTGACCGTTTGATGAAGATGACTCATTCAGCGGCTGTGCCTGATTCCATCGACGGTGAAAACACAGCGAAGCTGTTTATCGACCGTATGTTGCGGTCAACACGGTTTGCCTGTGGTCATCGTCTCAGATCGTAATCCACGTTTCACTGGCAAGTTTTGGACTTCCACCTTTAAGGTGCTGGGCACCAGGTTGGACATGTCAACAGCGGATCATACGCAGACTGATGGTAAAACTGAGCGGTTCAACCGTGTCACTTTTAGTGACATGTTGCTCAGATTTTGTACTGATACGCCTAGGCGTTGTAGATCTATGCTCCCGGTGGTCGAGTCTGCGTTGAACAACGCTGTTCATGCCTCTACGGGATTTACTCCATTCTAAGTGCATGGTATTAACCGCCCACGAGTTCCTTTAATGCTATCTCTACGTGGTGCTGGTCTCGGTGAGGGAGTAATAGCCGATAGGCTTGCTGACTTCAGCCCAACAACTGTTCAGAAACAGGTGAGCGAGTTTATCACTACGCAATTGAATGTCTTACGACATGTACATGACAAAATGGATGATAGCCAGGACAATCAAAATGAACAGGCTGATGCCAAAGGCAGAAAATGTATTGAGATTTATGAAGTTGGAGACCTAGTCTTACATGGTGCTACGAATCTACCTACCAATGCGGCGTCGGTGGTCTACAGGACCAAGTTGCATCCTCGTTTCATTTGGGCTGTTTACGGTTGTGTCCAAGAAGGGCCTAGTGTATGTGCTCAACCTCCCACGCAAGATGCAAGCACAACCAGTGTTTTACGTTGGCTTGCTTGAGCCTTACCTTGATCCGTCGCTAGTGGATCATGAGGCGCTTACGCCGAAAGATTCGGCGATGCCACAAGTCGAGGATCTCTCAAGAGAAGATCCAGTTGTCCTTCAAGACGCGCCACTCGATCACGCAGACCATACACCTCGTGCACTAACTCGTCGACGACGTGTCGAGATTCACTGAGCACCGCCTGCTCTTGCTGACAAGCAAAGGGATCAACGGTACCATGTTGAACGTCTCCTGCAGCGACATCGTCGCGACGGTCAGTACCAGTACTTGGTACAGTGTCGGAAGTACCCAGAGTTGGAGAACTCATGAGAGTATGAAGTGCACTGCGGCAGGATTGTCCGAATGCCGTTGAAGTTTTTGACCGTCGTCTTCAGGGTCAGTAGACCCATACCACTTCCCACTATTTGGTGAGAGAGTGGAGGTGGTTGCAGCTTCAGCAGGAGCACTGATGCGCGGGTCCGTAGCTTCTGCAGCATAGCGGGTGCATAAAACGATTGAATTTGGACTTTGGCCGTTTGTTTTGCGAACTCAAAGTGCATCTTTTGTTCGAGTCGGGTGTCAGCGAGTGAAGCGCTCTCTTGGAGATTCTACAGGCTTGGTAGACGGCGAGCTATGTAAGCCCAACGCGTGAAGACGACATCATTTCCGCCCCCTATCACCAGGGAATAGAAAAATGAGTACCGTCCGCATGGCGGACACTGACGCACCTCGTGCTTGCAGATTCAGCCTGTTGAGGTAATCTTGAACGGTTATACACTCGACCCCCAGTTATTTCATTCTAAGAGCCTCCCTCTCCGATAGTGCTGTGGCTGTGGCAGCCTTGGGCACCATGCTCCATGTTGCGAGTGACTGCCCAGTCGTCTGACGAATGCGCTCATCCACACTCGGTGGTGTGAAGCGATAACCACTGTGAGCAGACGCTGTGACTACACATTGTGATTGACGCCTGCGGTCATCGACCGAATGAAGATATTGAGCTTGATCTTCATACAGTGTGTTGTGCAACACACCGAACGCAGGTTCGACGGCTTCAAGCTTTGCAAGGGGTGAAGGTACCTCCTCGCGTTCTACCAATGGATTTAGGCGCGATGCGCGAGGTGTCTTGCGCCGGTGGCATAGCTGGAGGGTGTTCATAGACACTCGACGCGACGTTGTCACTCTCATATTCCACCACACCCTCTTCGAGGAATTCCTCAAGACTGTTGGACGAAGGCTTAGAAGCAGTCATTTTGAGATGTGTTGTGAACATGATGGTCAGGACCATAGTTTAAGACCTAAAAGATCAGTAAAAGAATTGCTCACACAAGGATGTCGACAGTTTGGTGAAGGAGGAACCACGGGGTTACACGCGGTTATTGAACCGCTTATGTTGTGTGCCAACGCCAACTAAAGATCGGTGGATCTGAGTGGTACAGTCTTGGGACCACGTGCCTACGGTGATACCGCACCTGATCAGGCAGGGATAAGGGACAAGACTTCTGTCATAGGATCGCACTGTAGAAGTCAGTCAGACAAGGTTTTAGGTTTTGTTACCGTAGTAATAGAATGAATAAAGGTCGGTTCCCCTTTTGAATCGTTGGACACAAGTGCCTAGTCAAGGAATTTTGTGTTGTTTAGAGCATTAGCCTTGTAAAGGCGTTTACTCTTATTTAACGAGTATGTGACTAGTTAGTGTGTGATTCTGTGAATCGAAATCAGTTTGGAACCGAGAGTGTTAAGCGCGTACGCTTGAACGACTGCACGTCGTTGTTACTTTGTTATAGCTAATGAATTTTTGAGTCTAAGAATCTCTCCGTTAATGAGCGCTAAGTAGCTCCTCTACAGCTTGTAAACTAGTAAACAAACGATTGAATTGGATGGAGTGCCTCTTAGTTTCAAGCTACTGAGCTGTTTTGGCTGAATCAAGTGTCTGTGGCTGTGGTAGTTTTGTCTTAGTCCGTAGTATCAATTTATGTGGTCATGGAAAAGTGTGTATGGCCGTAGCGGCCCCCTCTAAGCATCGTGTGGATTTAAAAACCTTTCTTCATTTAACTAGCAACACATCCGTTGTAGAGGAGGTACTACGCGCTCATTAGCAGAGAGATTCTTAGACCCAAAAATTCTTTTAGCTAAAGCAGAGTAACAACGGCGTGCAGTCGTTCAAGCGTACGCGCTTAACACTCTCGGTTCCAAACTGATTGCGATTCACAGAATCACACACTAACTAGTCACATACTCGTTAAATAAGAGTAAACGCCTTTACAAGGCTAATGCTCTAAACAACACAAAATTCCTTGACTAGGCACTTGTGTCCAACGATTCAAAAGGGGAACCGACCTTTATTCATTCTATTACTACGGTAACAAAACCTAAAACCTTGTCTGACTGACTTCTACATTGCGATCCTATGACAGAAGTCTTGTCCCTTATCCCTGCCTGATCAGGTGCGGTATCACCGTAGGCACGTGGTCCCAAGACTGTACCACTCAGATCCACCGATCTTTAGTTGGCGTTGGCACACAGCATAAGCGGTTCAATAACCGCGTGTAACCCCGTGGTTCCTCTTCACCAAACTGTCGACATCCTTGTGTGAGCAATTCTTTTACTGATCTTTTAGGTCTTAAACTATGGTCCTGACCATCATGTTCACAACACATCTCAAAATGACTGCTTCTAAGCCTTCGTCCAACAGTCTTGAGGAATTACTCGAAGAGGGTGTGGTGGACTATGAGAGTGACAACGTCGCGTCGAGTGTCTATGAACACCCTCCAGCTATGCCACCGGCGCAAGACACCTCGCGCATCGCGCCTAAATCCATTGGTAGAACGCGAGGAGGTACCTTCACCCCTTGCAAAGCTTGAAGCCGTCGAACCTGCGTTCGGTGTGTTGCACAACACACTGTATGAAGATCAAGCTCAATATCTTCATTCGGTCGATGACCGCAGGCGTCAATCACAATGTGTAGTCACAGCGTCTGCTCACAGTGGTTATCGCTTCACACCACCGAGTGTGGATGAGCGCATTCGTCAGACGACTGGGCAGTCACTCGCAACATGGAGCATGGTGCCCAAGGCTGCCACAGCCACAGCACTATCGGAGAGGGAGGCTCTTAGAATGAAATAACTGGGGGTCGAGTGTATAACCGTTCAAGATTACCTCAACAGGCTGAATCTGCAAGCACGAGGTGCGTCAGTGTCCGCCATGCGGACGGTACTCATTTTTCTATTCCCTGGTGATAGGGGGGCGGAAATGATGTCGTCTTCACGCGTTGGGCTTACATAGCTCGCCGTCTACCAAGCCTGTAGAATCTCCAAGAGAGCGCTTCACTCGCTGACACCCGACTCGAACAAAAGATGCACTTTGAGTTCGCAAAACAAACGGCCAAAGTCCAAATTCAATCGTTTTATGCACCCGCTATGCTGCAGAAGCTACGGACCCGCGCATCAGTGCTCCTGCTGAAGCTGCAACCACCTCCACTCTCTCACCAAATAGTGGGAAGTGGTATGGGTCTACTGACCCTGAAGACGACGGTCAAAAACTTCAACGGCATTCGGACAATCCTGCCGCAGTGCACTTCATACTCTCATGAGTTCTCCAACTCTGGGTACTTCCGACACTGTACCAAGTACTGGTACTGACCGTCGCGACGATGTCGCTGCAGGAGACGTTCAACATGGTACCGTTGATCCCTTTGCTTGTCAGCAAGAGCAGGCGGTGCTCAGTGAATCTCGACACGTCGTCGACGAGTTATTGCACGAGGTGTATGGTCTGCGTGATCGAGTGGCGCGTCTTGAAGGACAACTGGATCTTCTCTTGAGAGATCCTCGACTTGTGGCATCGCCGAATCTTTCGGCGTAAGCGCCTCATGATCCACTAGCGACGGATCAAGGTAAGGCTCAAGCAAGCCAACGTAAAACACTGGTTGTGCTTGCATCTTGCGTGGGAGGTTGAGCACATACACTAGGCCCTTCTTGGACACAACCGTAAACAGCCCAAATGAAACGAGGATGCAACTTGGTCCTGTAGACCACCGACGCCGCATTGGTAGGTAGATTCGTAGCACCATGTAAGACTAGGTCTCCAACTTCATAAATCTCAATACATTTTCTGCCTTTGGCATCAGCCTGTTCATTTTGATTGTCCTGGCTATCATCCATTTTGTCATGTACATGTCGTAAGACATTCAATTGCGTAGTGATAAACTCGCTCACCTGTTTCTGAACAGTTGTTGGGCTGAAGTCAGCAAGCCTATCGGCTATTACTCCCTCACCGAGACCAGCACCACGTAGAGATAGCATTAAAGGAACTCGTGGGCGGTTAATACCATGCACTTAGAATGGAGTAAATCCCGTAGAGGCATGAACAGCGTTGTTCAACGCAGACTCGACCACCGGGAGCATAGATCTACAACGCCTAGGCGTATCAGTACAAAATCTGAGCAACATGTCACTAAAAGTGACACGGTTGAACCGCTCAGTTTTACCATCAGTCTGCGTATGATCCGCTGTTGACATGTCCAACCTGGTGCCCAGCACCTTAAAGGTGGAAGTCCAAAACTTTCCAGTGAAACGTGGATTACGATCTGAGACGATGACCACAGGCAAACCGTGTTGACCGCAACATACGGTCGATAAACAGCTTCGCTGTGTTTTCACCGTCGATGGAATCAGGCACAGCCGCTGAATGAGTCATCTTCATCAAACGGTCAACAAAGACCACATACCATTGTTGCCATCCGAATCTTTTGGTAGTCTATCACAAAGTCCATACTGATGGAATCCTAACACCCAGTGGGTACAGGAAAACTAGCAAGCGGTGCAACCGCATGTGCTGAAGGTTTGACTCGTTGACACATTTCGCACGTACGCACATATGTACTCACCCATTTGTACAGCTTGGGTCACCAATACATCTTGATAACTAAGCTATATGTCTTCTCACGAACTAGATGAACGCTCAAAGCAGTGTCATGTGCTTCAAATAGGATACGATACTTCAAGTCTTCATCATTAGGAACAACGATGAGAGGCACTTCCTCAACATCTGTGCAATATCACAGTAACCCACCATCGATGACACATCGGAGTAGGCTCGCACGTAAACGTGCCAACAATTTGATGTCCGAGTCTTGAAACACCTCGCTTACAAGAGCATGTAGCAATGCTACACATTACTCATCACGTGCTTATGCCGCACGAATTAAATCTACAATAGATGACGACAGAGTCGTAGCATGAGCAAGCTTATAATCAGGTCTGCGTAACGACGCATTAGACAAAGAGTTTTGCTCGCCCGGCTTTTAATTCACCTCGAAGTTTTATTCAGCAAAGAATGAAATCCAACGGACCGTACACTGTGAGAGGTGAGGCGACTGAGTCGCAGTGCGTAATGACGCATGATCTGTGAAGATCACAAAAGGCTTTGAGCCCAGTAGGTGGAGTCTGAACTTGACAAGAGCATATTTCATTGCAAGTAACTCTTTTTCGTGAACTGGATAATTCTCTGCAGCCTCGAGATGAAGAGATTCATACACAATGACGCGCTCATGTCCATCGACATCTGTCTGCGCTCATGCACAACCAATAGCAAAATCAGACGCGTCACAGACGACACTGAAAGGTCACTCAGGGTCATGCAAAGCAAAAATTGGAGCTTGAAGGAGGCTGTAATTTACAGCTTTAAAAGCGTGAGCATAGACTGCGTCCCAACTCCAAACCGCATACTTCTTGAGAAGTTTGGTTTATGGCCTTGCCATGTCAGCATAGTTTGCACTGCACTTGTGAAAGTAATTCGCAAAGCCAAGCCATTTACGCAAGTCCTTTTGGTTCAACGGAACCGGCCAGTCAACAGTTTAATTTACCTTGGCGGGATCTGCTTGAAGGCCGCGCTTTCCAATGAAGCACCCGAGAAAAGGAATTTCTTCTGTACCGAAAATGCATTTCGATGCATGTGCATACAACTTGTTCGTGCGCATGCACTCGAGCACTGCTCGTAAATGGTCAATGCGATTGTCCACATCTGACCTAACATGATCGACACGGCTATGGACAAAGATGTCATCAGAATAGCTTTGTGCATATCCTCGGTGAGGTCGGAACAGTTGCGTCACAAGACTATTTAAAGTGGCCGGGTCACTAGGCAGCCCTTTAGGCATAACCGGTCACTCCCAAAGCTTACCGCTTGGAGTACTAACCGGTGTGAGCGGAATATCACTCGCTCGCATAAGCAGTTGATCATGTCCGTCGACCAAATCGAGTGCACTTAACATTGTACAACCTACTATAGCGTTCTAAAGAACATCCTTTCGAGTGAGAGGCATCTATGCCGGTAAATTGGCTGCATTAAGCTTATTGCAATCATGCACAATTGCCATTCGGCTTTATGACACAAAATGTCGATGCCGAGTGCGGAGACTTTCTCTCACGCACCATGCCAACCGCTTGCTTTGCACGAAAGAACTCGTCAATGACGTCACACTGCTCCTTTGGTAGGGTCATTTCCGTGTCACAGTATTAGGTTCCAGGAACCAGGTCAATTTCATGACGTACGCCTTGATCAGGAGGCAGCGTGGAAGGTAGGTCGTGACACTCCACATCGTGAAACTCCTTTACCAAATAATAAAACGGTGTTTAGGATCTTCAAGATGGATGACCCACTTCAAGCACTCAGCGATGCCTTTGTGTCTTCCAAGACAGCTTCATCAAGAAGTGAAGACTAGTTAAACTCGACATCGGGTTTATTGATTACCACTTCAGATAAGTCACCTGAATTTAAGTTCAGGCCAAACTCATTGACCGGTATTTCGTCTAGTGATAACAGAGTATTCAGTGAGGGTAGAGTATCAAGACTTACTGACCCATCTGCGTCGCCAGTCACTCCATAAACGAGAGTATATAGCTGCTCGCTAGTATCACTCAGTCACGTAATAGACGCCTTGCGTTGCATAACAGCAATCTGGCTATGCTGTCGTCTCTGTGACGAGACTGAGCGTATCAGAGAGACTGAAACTTTCTCGTTCCCAAGATTGATATCATCACCATCCTTAACTTGCTCTGTACAAGAACCGGTGTCATTACCGACACCCGGAAAATTAATATCCCCAAAATTAATATGTTGATCAACCTTAATTTTCCCAGTATCTGGGCCGACGTCATTACTGACATCTGGGACTACAATGTCCCCAAGGTGACGAACTGCGTCACCCTTAATTTGCACTATAGCAGGAACGATGTCATGCCGACATCTAGGATTACACTGTCCCCAAGATGACGAACTGCGTCAACCTTGTTTTGATCTGAGTCAGATCCGGTGTCATTAACGACGTCTGGTCATGTGTCACTTATAGTGATATCACCACCCAGTGGGTACTTACGTGCCACTCCACGCTCATCAATTGGTTCTCGCCCTTGATGACTTGGTATTTCACCAACAATGTCTTGACTGACATTTTGTGTGTCGCAATCACGGCCAACATCACTCAGTGTGTATGTACGTGCCACTACACGCTCACCTGATGATTATAACCCATGAAGACTTGATTCTAGACTAATGATGCTTACAGCATTCAGTGATTCATTATCACAACGATTATTAATCGACGGAGTAAGTGCCGTTTCACTAGCAGTCAACGAGCTTGGCCCGCAACTAAAGTTTTTGACATCGTCCAACCCAATGAGTTCAGACATACTGATGTCTATCACATTGAGTATCTCAGTCCGTGGCTCGCGCCGATAGCGCTTCTTTTTCTTAGCAGAAGCGGGATCATGACTCTCTGAAGCTTCAGTAGGAGCAGTGCGGATTTCGCCTAAGCTCTTTGACCTTCAATCAATCCATGACTCATGGCGTTCTAGCCAAGCCATACCAAGGATGACATTATGTATCTCATCCAAGTCAAAGACTAGACAGCGTCCAATACTGTCAAAGTCCGAAAACTTCACACCAAAGTTCACAGGAACTTTAGGCACAGTGGCTAATACACCTGTCGTCAAGCGGACAGTGATAGTCTCATTCTTTCGCGCTTTCAGCGCCTCATAATACTTCTGACTAACTTCCAGGGAACAACGTCGGACGTAATTTACCGACGCCCCGGAGTCGATCAATATTGACTACGTCTCATCAAAGACCTTCACTGTTGCTTTCGCAACTAACAAGCCTGGCTTGTACTCATGCTTCGTGACATTTCTCACGAAGACGCTTGGGGCTAGTCCCTGTTCTCCATCACCTCCCAGAGTTACAACAGAGCCTAAATCCTCCCTGGCAGGGCGCCCCGCGCCTACTGGAACTCGACGCCTTTCCGCGCCTTACCAACTCGTTGGTTAGAGACGGGGGGGGGTAGGCTTAAATGAGCCTGTCTGCTTCTTCTCAAAGGACAATTGGGGCGAAGGTATTTACGGTTGTTCGAAAGCTGTTCTACAGCATAAAGCTCGTATTCTTCGTCAACATCAGCGAGACTAAGGTCCATGGGCTCTGTCCTATCCATAAAATGAGTATTACTCGGCGATTCCGATTGTAAACCATGAGTCCCGTAACAGGCAGCGTTAAAGTTGAACTCTGCGTTCACCACTATGTCCACTGCACCCTCATATATCGAGGGTTATGCACAAAACAATTATGTTCTGGCAACGCCAGTGCGAAGACCCTCCATAAGAATGGTTACCAGAACCGTCTCAGGTAAAAAGTCGAGCTGCATAGCAGCGATGAGAGTTCGCAACTCCTGGACGTGATGGAATAAGTCCTTTTTACCCTGGCAGGTTGACAGGAAGCGTGATCGCACGCGATATGCCTGATTAGGCAGGGCTAACACCTGAGATTTAGCATGTCCCAGGTGAGAAAAGCCTCTTCCATCGAGTGGCCAGAAGTGAAGGCCCGCTCTTAGTCTCGCCCACCTAACTTCTATAGGGCAATGCCCACCTCTTGCTGCTCTGACCGCGCAAGGTCGAGCTGATGGCGGTCGACATCTCTCGAGCCCGCAAAAGGATATTCTCCCTCTTTTTAGTTAAAAGTCTTGACACTTAAGACCAGAGGGTGAGTCCTTAACTTAGTTACCGGTAGTGAAACATAACGAGTGGGCATGGCAGATTCCAAATGGTCATGGACCTGTCCGATCAACGTGGACGCAAAATTCGAGAAGGTCTCGAGACGTGCACGTAGCGCGTCCGGGCCTTGAGACACGATAAGATCCACTTGCTCGTGCACGATCAACGCCTTGAGATTCTCAAGCGTGATCTTCTGGACCTCAGAGAGGTTCATGGCCGGTTCCATCATCGCAGAGGATTCAGTATGTAAAGACTCAGGTGTAGATTGACTACAAGTGCTACCAAGTGTAGCGGAGCTACTTAGCGCTCATTAACAGAGAGATTCTTAGACCCAAAGAGTATTTTAGCTATAACAAAGTAACAACGACGTGCAGTCGTTCAAGCGTACACGCTTAACACTCTCGGTTCCAAACTGATTGCGATTCACAGAATCACACACTAACTAGTCACATACTAGTTAAATAAGAGTAAACGCCTTTACAAGGCTAATGCTCTAAACAACACAAAATTCCTTGACTAGGCACTTGTGTCCAACGATTCAAAAGGGGAACCGACCTTTATTAATTCTATAACTACGGTAACAAAACCTAAAACTTTGTCTGACTGGCGTCTACATTGCGATCCTATGACAGAAGTCTTATTCCTTATCCCTGCCTGATCAGGTGCGGTATTACCGTAAGCACGTGGTCCCAAGACTGTACCACTCAGATCCACCAATCTTTGCTCGGCGTTGGCACAAAATATAACCTGTGTACTTTTTGCGTGTAAATCCCTTATATTAGGAATGGTACACAGGTTAATGAATAGGACTTCATTGAAAATTAATTCTTTTTTTACTTCTACTCCTACTGACCGGGTCGTTCAATCGCTATTCTTCCTCCTCACGTACGGTGTACGTGAAGTGACGTGCGGCAACATCTTAAGCCATGCCAGTACAAGTCACCAGTGCCCCATTACACTACCTACACGCACATCTTCAGACGCCTGCGAGGAAATGGTTTTACCGTCTTTTCTTTTGTGTAGAGAGGTGGTGTTCTACGACTGCCTCATCGATGGATGGATACTTGCTTGTTGTGAGGCGTGGACACGGTTGCACTTCTTTACCACAAACGTTAAAGCTAGGTTGCAAAAGGTAAGACTAATTTCAATTTAATATACCATACAAAAATCGAACTTACTATCATTAAAAAAAATTAGATAAGCGTTATGATGAGACGCGGCCTCTACAACGCGTTAAAACTTAATACACGCGCACTGATGACACCTTCAATGACGTCAAGTAGTGACGTCATTCTTATCAATGACCACGCTTTGTGGTAGGAAAGCTAATGCTGTACCTCAACCACATATCATGTTTAAGTGCGTACCGCAGTCAGGACCTTTTTCAGAATATTCCGTGTCGTTGCACGGAAAGACTTGTACAACGGTTTGACTTCGTTACACATTAATGTTACATCCTATTGCATGTGCTTAAAAATGCACAGTAAGACAAAACTCACGAAGACACTCAGGCTAAGATCGACGTCATGCAACGGGCTGTCCCTTTTTTCCATACCTTTTTAAGGTTTCCTAAAGAGGCTTTCGCGAATGATCTCGGTGCTTGAACACATGCTTTGTTTTTGTGTTAGAGATACTGACGTAAAAAGGGGAGGCTATTCCGTACTTTTAATTTTGCTATTCCGTACTGCAAACGGCGTCAAACGTTTTTACGAGCAGCTGATTAGCTTAATAGTTAAATTTTATCTGCATTATGCTATACCTCGAAGGTCAGAGGAGCGGAGATTAAAGAGCTTCCATTGACTGGAATCACTGTTAAGCCTTAGGGACGGGTTAAACATCTTCAACTGGAAGATTACCGATGTCCAAATCTATCTCTGGAGCACCAAGTGTTACTGCTTTATCGAGCTGAACCTGGTGCGACGACGCCTGTACCCGATAGCCTACCGAAGCTAGTGTTCCAGCAAGCGAGCTGCTACTTCCTGATAGCAACTCCAATTGATCATGCAGCGATTCTCGTCCATGTACTGGCGAACACCATCGTACAGCTTGGCTCGGTGTTGGCTTGGGCCTATCCTGGCCATCATCTCCGGCTTCGTGCTCGTCAACGCCGACTATACAACGTAACAAGGGCTGAACTCTGCCGTGGGTGTCATTTAATGACAATACTGTATCAAGGATACGTGACGTACGTCGCATGTATGCCTTACATCCTACGCGAACGAGCCGTCTTCTACCTCGAGTGTAAAGCGTAGACGTATAGAACTCTTTAATACTTCCTCGGCATCACGTTCGTCAAGACCTCCTACGTCTTTGGCAGCAGTCTTCTCTTCACCATAATTTTCACCCCTCTCCTCGGCATCTGGTCATTCAGCACGGATGTGCCCTAATGGCTCAAAATCTTCTACTCCGTGCTCATGTAGACGCTCCTGGGCCAGCTGATCGTTTACTAGCTGTTCAGTGGCGAAGTCTTTGCCGTTTTGGGCGTCCTTAATTGTGTTCTGTTCCTGCTCTTTGCTAGGTTCAACCCGCCTGCTGCTGCCATCCCGGACAGTTACCGATGGCTCATGACGTCACTCCACAGCGCGATTACTTCTTGATCCTCGTCTCAATCGTGCTCGTCAACTGTCCTGAAGATCCGGAGCATGTTGAGGTTACGAAGGGGTACAGCAACGTGCGGTCGGAACCCGCGTGTCAACCCCTATGGATTGCACCGCCGTCAACGTGTTACACGACGGTCAAGCGCTACCTGGACGACATTTTTAGAACTGATGACAGCGACATGTAGACTGACTTTTGCTACGTCTTGGTCTTCCTCGAGGTCTTTCAGATACTGACGCTGCTGGCACTGTGCTACGTGAACTCTCGGAGGCGCTAGAGCAGGTATAGAATTAAATATGAAATGGTGGTAAAGGTCGTGGTGGTGGTTTACAAATGGAAGAGTAGATGTAACTACTACATCTCATTATGTCAAGACCAATCTAACAAAATAGTTAACCGGGTTGCAGTAACAATAGACTACACAAGAAAGGAAGATTTACGCAAACAAACTGATGTCTTCGATCTGATCGTTGTGCTGGGGATGTTGATAAAGAACAAGATATGCACTTCGAGGTACAGTAGTGTTCAGGTAAGGACCGCTTGATTGGAGTAAATAAAATGCTAAAGATACGAATGGACGGACCTGGGTTGATCACCGCCCTGCTACGTGTGCTGTTGATCCTGGTGTGGTCAGCCACACCACACGAGTCATACAAACTAGCGTAAAGGGTGGCATAAAGGGAAGTAAATCCAGTCAATGGAAGCTCTTTGATCTCCGCTCCTCTGACCTTCTATGTATTGCATAATGCAGATAAAATTTAACTATTAAGCTAATCAGCTGCTCATAAAAACGTTTGACGCCGTTTGCAGTACGGAATAGCAAAATTCGAAGTAGGGAATCGCCTCGCCCGTAAGAGACACAAATTTCGGTCAGTCCACACAAGTCTTACCTATTCAGTTGCGATAACATTCAAATTGTGCTCTCCAAATAAGCACCTCCTCCCTTTTCAGTTGGTTGTCGGCTACTTCTTTGTAAATTGTCGTCGCCTAATCTCCCGTCAGTCTTCGATTCGACAGCGTGACTTTGATGACTTCTTGTCGTTCTTGGCGCTGCGTCACGTTCGACGCGACGGGAACGCTGTTCCGTCTTACAGAGCCAATGGCAGAGACTTATCTGCAGTTTTGGAAGACTGCGTCAGGTCAGTCGTTCTCTTCTGGTCGCCACGAAGCTGCAGTCGCTGCTCTCAGTTCGCACTTCCCCGTTGAGTTCCGCCGACTTGCTCGTGATCTCCCCAACTTCGGATCGGACTGTGAAGCTACAAGTGCGTTTCCATGGTGGCGACAACTCGTGCTCAACGTGATGGAAAGCGCTCAAGTGGCTGATTGTCTCGCCCATAACGAGGAGCAAGCAGAGCGCTTTACGCGCGAACTGTACGCTCATTTTAGCCGTCCCGAAGCATGGACAGTGTTTGACGATGTGCGACCAACACTGGAGACGCTCAAATCCTTGAAGGTTCCTATGGCCGTCACTTCGAACTTTGACGAGCGATTGGAGCCCCTTATGGAGCGACTACAGCTCCGAGATTACTTCCAGGTGATCACCGCGTCAATCACGCAGCCAGAAATGAAGCCACATGCATCTATTTTCCGGTCGACATTTAAGAAGCTGCAGAGAGAAGAGGGACCGACTGTTGCAAGCTCATTTTTGCATGTAGGCGACCACCCGTCAAAGGATTTCAGGGCTGCGAAAGGTATTGGGGCTAATGCTAAACTGCTGTGGAGGGCAAAGCATCGACCGCCACCCATCGACATCGATAGAAACGAATGCATTATGACGTTGCATGAATTGGTTTCGGATGAGTATGAAGGGGATTGTAATTTTGATGATCCACTAAAGGAAAGGATGCTCTAAGTTTAGATCTCTTAAGTAGACGCGTGAATATGAGCAAAGAGCTGTTGTCAATTAAAAACCAGGCGCATTGCTGCGAGTAGATCATGCAGCAGATAGAAGATACTACTCGCTCACGGAGTGCAATAAGTTTATCGTGTAGTCGACGCAGATATTTTGAAGTTCAAGCAATAGTCTTACGACCATCTTGAGTAGTTTCGCAACGTACAACGATCAGAAATATTCACCTACTCTAGTTATCGGAACAGAAACAAGCAATGTCACTGCACTAACAAATCGTCAGTAGTCAAAAGTATTGCCTCCGGTTGGGCTACATGTGCTGAGAAAATCACTGTTCGTACATGCAATCGGCAGCATCGGCGATTTATTTCTGCGAACAATGTAACGGTGTCACACAAATAGTTGTGATAACCAGGTACATTGGTGGTACGCACAAAAAGAGATCAGTGTCAATGATTAGGCATCCTTTGTGTCACATACGCAAAGCGATAATACCGTACCCTATCGGTTATGGTTAGAAAGTATCTATCGCAATAGGGTCTTCATAGCGGCAACGTAGTTCTGGTGTGGTACACAAGAGGAGCTACGATGAGAACCGTTCGATCAAAGATGTGAGTAAGGCATGTTTTCGCTATAAATCAATCGATTTACCAGTTCCCCTTTTGATCAGTTTCAGACACGTGTCTTTCTAAGACTTCTTTGGTCGTAACCGTTAAGTGTCTGAGTTAAAGAAGCTAAGTACTCTTTGGCATTAGTGCCACCTGGTTCCTTGGTGTCGTAGTCTCCTGAACCAAAGCTAGAAGCTTGAGCGTTTGAACATACACTGACAGCAAAGTCTCACCAAGTCTGCAAAAATAGAGACCCTTTCAGCTAACACCCGCTCAGCTTGACATACCAAAAAACTCTGCTAGTCCAGATGCCTACCTCTGACTAAGGAGTAAGGGTAGCACTGCTTTGAATTCTCTAATATGGTGACCTTTCTAATTCTTTTACCTTTAAGTGGAGGAGATGGTAAAGCAATTATTTGTATCAGCAGGATTACAAAGCGGTCCAGAAAATAATCAAGTAGCTGTTGATGTACAGTCATTCCTCGGATGACTAATAGGCTTGGTGGAGACAAACAATAATACAGGGTTGCGCACTCTGAAGTTCGAATATTGATACGAGTAATCAGTTCGGAGAATCGGATAAAGTTGCAAAGAATATAAATTAGCAGTCACTGAAGAATGAGTGTGGTGGTGTCAATGTATGTATCAAACCAGTACATTATAGGGGGGAAACGCGATCGGCCTTTGCTATAAGCGTCCAGCATTTATTTGTGTGATCATGTTCACCTTTGATCGATTATAGGCCAAACACAAGCGTGCGTCACAAAAATGACCTAACCAAAGAGTGACTTCGGATATAACTATATACCTATGTGGATGACAGGCTGGATCGCACGTAGCATGTAGAAGGTACACCTAACCACGTTATTTACTGACACACACAGGCGAGTTCGATTTAGAAAGTTCGGCTTTAGCTTTCGCACTGTCACTAATAGCATCACACTTCCGTCTCGCAAGAAACCAAAAAATGTGATGATTTATAAATAAATTACATCTTTTTATGCAATTAAGTAGTAGCTTACTGTTCTAGAATCGCAGTGTAGTGCATTTGGTAGGGTTGTGAAGTCGAGTGCCACAGGGTGAAATTTGAATAATTGGGCGTAGTTTACGACATAGATCACATTAATAGGCTTGCAATAAACGCCTTCGGAGTGCTGTAGTGTGAAAGTATGTAATTGACCCTGAATGAAAATGAACGTCCCTAATCTGAGTTAGACTGGGTGTATTAAATTGAAAGCCTTTAATAGAAGTAAAGCTCTAACGGTTGTAGGCGGATGAGTGAAGGGAGACACGACAAGTCTCCAATCCCTCCGATGTACCTACACAACAAGTGACTCGGATTGGCGTAAGCCTTGGCCACAAACAGGTGCAATAGAAAACTAATGTGACGAAGGGTAGAGTATGGACAATGAAACAAAGTCGCAAGGCCCAAAAGGGAAAAATAGGGGCTAATGCCCGCATGGATAAAAGGAAAAGCTGAAAGCCAAAGGCTTCAAGCCGGGAGACAATAAGCCAATTGGCAGAGTCAAAGTCACAAGCTAAAAGAAAAAGCCTAACGTTGAAGTACCAAAGGCAAAAGCCCAAGCCAATTTTCTGCAGCCAAAAGCCCAACACAGGAGCTTTTCGTAGTTGATAGGAATAGGGAGAGCCCAACCCGATGACGTCTTATAGGCATTCAACGTAACTTACATTCACTCATAGCAGCCCTCTAGGCTTGCAATAACGTTTGTAGGACTTAAACATGTGTAAAAACGAACGTATGTACTAAAATGTATAATTCAATTTATCTTTAGGACAAAATCTACTTAAGATGTTTTATTTAAAAAAAAACAAGGTGCCTCATGTTGAGTATTTTCCGGCGAGATCTGCCAACCTCAACTTTTCCACCTTTCGTCGCGGCCAAGCTCTTCAATTTTCTAATCTTGTACAGCAGTAGGTCTTACCAGCATAATTTGACAGCCAAATGTCGTATGTTCGACCTCTACATAGTGCGACAAAAGCCGATCCAAGAGTTCTCTCCCTTCTTGAATCAGCAAAAACACGATCCAATCTCTGCCCTTAAATGTAATGTATGTTAATTGCAACAAAATCAGAGTGAATGTTGCGTGTGTTTGAAACGAAAAGAACCTAGGAGCCGAAATTGGTATTTATTTTCAGTGTCTGTCAAAATCCGAGCGAAAAATGGTGGATTAATGTAGTCGTACCACTCCACAACAAAAAAATTGGGAATTTCAGTGATGGCTTGACCGTTCTCTTAAACTATATTTGGAATGAGCACCTGAATCTACTTGTTATCCCGACACCCTGCCAAATATTAGAACTCAGATTCAATAGTGCTCCAACAGCAAGATGCAATGAGTTCTCTAAGCCCCTGAACTTGTCAGAAGTCATTGACACTTCCTCAGGTCAAACTGTTAATTAACGTAATGTGAGCAATAAGAAATACAATTTTGTCTATCTTTTCTGCATTGTAGCGATCGATTTCAGCTTTCTCATTGAGAAAACATTTCATAGCATTCTTGAACTCTTCCTTAAATGAAACGCAGATATCAGACGTTGATCGAGTCATTACGATCTCCCACTAAAACTTAGACACAACTTTGTTACTAAAATCCTTCATCAGACACAAAATGAGCTTGAAGAGGGTCACTTCGACTCTTTTTTTGCCGGACAACCTGGTCCATACAAAAATGCTCAAGAACATTTGTTTATCCATTTATTCTTGCAAAGAAATTGTTGATCGGATGTGTCCACAAAAAGATGCCCCGCCAACAAAAAAATGTTGCTGACCCAGATAACCAACGAGTTTTACATCTTCACCACCATAAGAGACTTCTCGTCTATCAGCTCGAGAAAATTGATTCTCAATTTTTCCGGTAAGTCTAAACTGACCATAGGGTACTCGTCAATTATCACTACGTAATTTTGTTGAACATGTCTTGCACGACAACATGTCGTGCAAGATATGTTCATCAAAATTACGCTTCATTAAGCTCCACGAAAAGCCGAGACCCCGCCTCAACCGGTGCCAAAAATAATGAAGTTAAGGTAAATCCAAAAATAAAAAGGCGCCTACGCCGTAAACGATCCAGGGATAACATCCTCACGAACAAGTGCGGTAGAAATACACATATAGTGCATGGCTTACCATTCCCTGCCGTCCCATCAAATAGAATGTAAAGTTGATCTTCATTTCGCACAGCTTAAATAACAATATCAACACATAACATCCGCTTTTGATACAAATCGCGACGAGTAACAGCTGGAAGTTCAGCATGCAAGAAATCTGAAGGGCATTGTTTCATCATAAAACTTAGCCGATTGGAAGCATTTGTGTAAGGTGCACCAGTGTTACTCAATTAATTTTTTTCGTGCCATTATATCTGGGCTTAACAAATGGTTGAGATAGGAACTGTTGCCCGTTACGTAGATAATTTAGCTGCTACTATCCATTGCTCAGACTCTCCAAGTTCATGTTCACAGTCACGTTCTTCCACTAACTCATACTCAATTGAAGGAGCTTAACATTCTCGCGACAATATCTGAAAAGGTAGCATCATCTGTTTCCAGAAAATTGTTCTCTTCGTCTTCGGGATTGTCTTCATTATCCGGCCCTCCAAAGGTCTTTTTAAACCAGAAAGGATATTTGATCGAAAATAATTACAAAAGGATTGTAAGTAAGTGATTGGCTGTTTCCACCATATTTGTAAAGGTAACAACGATCGTACTATCCTGTTTAGACAATAAACCAATTTGGAACCCTTGATCGCAAACTTCCGGCAAAAATCAATCAAGTTAGGTAGTAGCTTCAGGTTTAAATTTGAAAAGTTGGGCTAAATTTGTGCATGCTTTGCAAAAAAGAGTTAGCAAGTTGTCTGCACTGATAACCTCTCCGGTTGTTTTGTAAATGCGCAACTTTTGAGTGCTAAATTTGTGGGATAGCATCACAAAATGGAACGATGGCTGACAATGCTTTGAGCCTAATATTATATCAGAGGCTTCACCTCCTCCCACATCTCAACGATCAATGCAACTAATCATTAAAGATCTCAACTTAGGGATTGGATTATCGGAATCCTGTGCGTTTAAATCATAGAATGTAACGATTTTTTGCAAGATCTCCCACTTCTTCACCCTTGGATGTACTTTAACCATATATGCGCTACAGCTGCGAGACGTTTGAGAATGAGATGAGGGTCCGTGTAAGCTCTTCAATGCTAGTACATGCCAAAATCAATAGTTGTACCACGTCGAAGCTGGATCGTATAACGAAATCGACACCCATTTTCCCTTTTTAGACTTGCAATACCCGTCGGGGCGACAACTGTGTCGCTGACATCAATTTGTGAGCTCCAAGTTAAGATAATTCGATTGCCCCTAGTGACGATTCGATGTACATCCTTAGTCTACTGGGGCCTCGTGACTTCAATCTATAATGAAAAAGATCTTCATTTAGTAGTAACTCGATTGCTCGAAAGCCTCGTCAAGAGGTTTTACTGTTGCAACGAACGTTAGAATCGCTTACGAGCAAATCGCAATGGATTAAAAATTGTGCCAAGATCATGCTTCAAGACGTCGCTACTTACTATAACTCTACCGCGTGGATGGTGATGCGTGTGGCAAATCTTTGCACTTACGTACCAAAACCACGCTAAAAAGAGCCCTGCTTGCATGGTTATGCCATTAGCAGCACCGATTAGGATCCAGCGGAACAGGTATTCAGCTTCTAAATTGCTGTAGACGATAAGCGTTGATTTAAAGCGAAGCTTTTAACCGTTTCACTATAATTCTCATTCTAGGTACCCTCAGCGCCTATGGTATTTTACCGTTTCACTAAATTCTGATTATTTGGTACCCTCAGCGCATATGGAGGCGATCATGTGTATGCAGATCTGGTCGTTACAAAATATGTGTAGGGTAAAGTATTCAGTGATCTCGTCCAGTGTAATCCTGCGTCCCATCCTGTCCTGCGCAGGATAGAACGCAACGAGGCCAATCCCGCCCCATCCCGCGCGGGACGAAGCCTTTGACAGGGCTTTAAGGCCCAACTCTGTACCGGTGAGAGCAAATACTCCTCTACATATTAAAAAGACAAGACCGTCGCGTGGAGCTTCGAATGGCGTTAAGAGTGCAAGAAAAGGTATCCACACTAAAAAGAAGAAGAAAAAGAAGAAGACAAAGACAGGTGTGGTGGTAAGAAGACGATGAAAGACAGTTACGTAAATTTTCAGAGCGGTATCAGCAGCGATATGGATGTCACGGCGAGGAGGAGGAGGCTATAAAGCATGACAAGAACACGACACGATAACACTCTTTGCTACTTTTGACAAATTGACGTATTCCCGAGACTAAAAGCGATAGAAATGCTCGATTTTACGTGAAACCGACTATTGCTTGTAGCTCCGTCTAGTACTCACTTAAAACGATTTTAAAAACTGTGCCAATGTTTATCCTATGCGGAAATGAAGATCCGCTGTGGTATTAGTCCTAATCTGAACAAGTTTGGTGGCGTCGTTTAATTACGTAGTTAGTTATGGATCATTACATGCCATTTATTCAGATTGATGGATTGCACTGGCTCGACGTATCGAAACTCGAGATCCAGAGCAGATCAAGAACGAATATTGTACGAGACACAATCTTAGGGTGCATACACTTTTGTGGCATCCCGTTCAAGCGGGATGGTGCGTAATCACACGGTATGCTAAAATGGTTGAATGTCTTACACATAGAATTGTCCAATCAAAATTGGCTGTTACGAGTGTTCACATAATAAAAGAACAGGAGAGCGATTCTAACCGAAAAAGGAGTTTTACCTAAACAAATTGCAACTTGTCACAGCCATCCCAGCAGAAACTAAGCTGCAGTACACGACAACTCCTTCATACCCTTGACTGTGTAATAAGCTGTGGCACCACGACAAGGAAAAACATCTTATGCATCAATGGTGCTGCTGCTTTCTTTGTTACCAAAAAAAAGCCAGGCATCGAATCCCAGGCACTACCGCGCGAAGCCAAGGCGAACACGCACCTCGGTCAATAGCGTTGCTGCTTTTTTATTTTCGCAGCACAGGGGAGTCACAGTAATGCTTAATTTGCGACAGCAACTTCTGCGCAATATTACCTTTGGCTTACGCACATTAATACCGGATGAACAGCTACTTGTAGCAACCACCACGGTTACGACCAGTCAGTTAAAATTTGGATACATCGAGTCGAAGTGAATGTCAAACGGCAGTCCGAGATCTTCATCATCCAGTACACGAGACATATGTGGTGGTCGCAATAACCCAGAAGCATCTCGGGACGGTGCGAATAACGGAGGCATCGGGCCCCACAGAAGGGGGACTGCCAGTCTCCCTCGCCGTTGAGCCTGTTGACGTTGCATGTACCCGCTAAGCCGGCGCTCACGATCCTGTTGATTCCATACTTCCATTCTCTTTTCATCAGTGTAACGTCTGACGTAAGTAGCTTTTGTATCACCTCCAGATTGCAGCGCGACACCGTAGTCTATCAAAAAAGAGGGAGCAACAACCAATGAATAGCTTTAAGACTCCAACTATCCAGCTATTTAGCTATCCGTAGCCGTACCACGCAGTAAAAAGTGTTGCCACAGCTCAAACGAGTCAGTCGACAGATGAATATACTGCAGTTACGAAGTAGTGGAAATACAAATACGTGAGAACCAATTCTGCGATATCGAACTTGTTTCTCCGTACTTTGCTTGTCCCAGCGACTCGGCAACATTCTAAAGCTGTCAGAAACGTCCCAATACGCACAAGGAGCTGCTCCGGCAGACGATTTAGTTCTGCATCAGAAGGAACCACACTTCTGTTGCTTGAGAATTCAGGAAATAAATTGCGCTGAAGTCTTTCGGCCACGACCCACAACAAAAGCGAAGTTAGAAACGATGCTACCTGCGGAAGCACCTCATCGGATTACAACCTACCTCCAGCGGAGAATTTCCAAGTAGCCGCGCCATTTGTCAGTACACAGTACTTGACCCTCATCCGGTCTTTGGTGATCCGTTCGCGGCCCTCGGGGTTTCACGAACTCGGAAATTCTGTGGCATGTAGTGATCAGACACGGTACTAGATCTATGCAGTACTGCTTTCTCTTCGCGATTGTACAACGCACGTGAGACTGATACGAACACTTTTGTCGATCGACACAAAATGGACGAATAGTTTTGTGCCCACCACGAGCGCTCGAACGTGAACGTCTGTGTCGGTTTGACCCATTTTCGGCACTTTGTAGCATCGAGCCGGCAGCAGATTCACGTCGCCTGAAAAGACGTTAATACTCTGTAGACCAGCTGCACCAGACTCAAGGTCAGGGGGCGTCCAACCATGCTCTTGTAACAAAGCATGCGTCATCCAGAGTAGCGTCCCGGCTGCAGACACCATTTCAAAAATCCGAAATCGTGAGACTTCTCTAAATAAAAAAGAATTTATGTGGCTACTGATATTAGACAAGCTCAAACGACGAATCGAACCTGGTATATCGATAAAATCGGTATTCTAAGAAGCAGGTAAGACACACATTACTACCAACTGTTGACTACATTTTCCTCCGTGCGAACCTTTCTCTATAAACATTATTCTGCTTTATTCGAATCCTGCCTTGCAAAGGATTGGTCCTTTTTGACTTTTGGCAACAGCCAAGAGCGAGTTGAGGTGGGAGAGCTTAGAAGAAGGTAAAATGGAAAGTGAATTATCATCTAGCTAGGTCCTTAGTTCGTCTCGTTGTACTACTCTAAGCCTATCGATATCGACTCTATAATATTAGTAACAAAACGATGAGTCGATCCCATCGTTACACACTATCACACAGTGTCGTCCATGACATATGGTCATTAGTATCAGTAACCAACACCGTTACCAATACTCCCCCTCGACTAGAAGTCTCTGATCCTGGCCTTGTCCAGCAGCGACTCGAACTTCTTTGTCGAAATCGGTTTGGTCAGAAAATCTGCCAGCTGTGACTTGGTTTCAGTATACTGCAGGTCGATAATCTTGTCTTTCACCTGTTCGCGCACAAAATGGTATCTGATGTCGATATGTTTCGCTCGACTTTGATAGCCGTCGTTCTTAGCGATAGCGATTGCACTCTGGTTGTCTTCGTGAATCTTGACAGCATAGTTAATCTGCACTTGCATCTCCTTGAGTAGACTTCTTGTCCACAGAACCTCCTGCACACATAAAGAAAGAGCCATATACTCTGCTTCTGCCGTGCTCAGTGCCACGCTCTGCTGCATCTTCGACTTGAAAATCACAGGTGCGCCATTAATCATGATAAAAACTCCCGAAATCGATCTGCGATTCCACTTGTTACTTGCCCAGTCTGCATCGGTGTACGCGCTCAGCTGAAGATTGCCTGAAACTCCTTCATAACAAATTCCTTTGCTCTGCGTCGTCTTCAGATATCGCAACACTCGAATCGCTGCATTCCAGTGCTCTTCATGTGGAAATTCCAAATGACGACTCAGCTGACATACTGTATACGCAATATCTGGTCGTGTGCCTGTTGCCACATACAACAACGACCCCACTAACGATCGATACGGTCGATTCTTCATTCTTGTGTCAGCTTTGTCCATCTTGACCATCGCTTGCCCTTCAACACTTGGATTTGACACTGCTTTCGCATCAACTTGATTAAATTTCTCGACCATTCTTGATATACACGATCCTTGACTGATCTTCAGACGTCGATTGTTGCGCAGGTACTTGACTTCGATTCCAAGAACGTATCGAACACCCCCCTAGTATCTTCAACTGGAAACGACTTGATAGTTGAGCTGCCACATCTTCCATCACTCCAGTAGATTCAGCCCCAATTAGAAGGTCGTCCACATATAATGCAGCGTAAATCCACGAGCCCTTGGTCTCTTTGACGAAAATGCATGAGTCTGCCACGCATGAAAAGAACCCCATCTCCACAAACACACACGAAATTGTCTTGTACCATGTAGCGGCCGCTTGTTTCAGCCCATACAGACTGCGATTCAGCTTAAGCACTTGATTATGTTCTGCACGAACACCCAGAGGAGGGTATACGTATACCTCTTCTTCCAAAACGCCATACAGAAACGCAGTGTCGACATCATATTGATGAATCAACATCCCCTTTTGACAGCACACCGCCAAAAACACCCGTATTGAGTTGAGGTTTGCCACAGGTGAATATGTCTCCATGTAGTCAACTCCATACGTCTGCCTGTAGCCAAGTGCTACAAGACGTGCCTTGTATCGAATAATCTCACCCAGCTCGTTTCGTTTGAGTGCGAACACCCACTTGGTTCCAATCACTTTCTGGTTTGGACGCTGTGTTTGAACAGTCCAGGTGTCCTTTTCCTCTAATGCCTTGAGCTCAGCTTGAATGGCCTTGTACCAATTATCACGACGAGGTGACTTAAGAGCTTCTTCGTATGTCGTTGGGGTCTCGAACGCTGCACATGCTTGCTCATACCCAATACGTAGTCTCTTTGTGCCTTTTTCTTGACACACTTCTGAGCCGTCATAAAAGTCCTCATCAGCACCATTCACTGGTATTAACGCTTGAGATTGTCCATGTTGAACCGATTCTAGTGGAACCATCGCGGTTTCTTGCGATGCTTGAATACTTGTCTGTCGACTTGGTCGTATCACCATCTGTCCTTGTCTTGACACGTCTTCAGCCGATTCTTGATCTTCTTCAATCATCGTCACATCATCAATTTCAAACATTGGATCGTCAGCATTGGAACCCACGTGTTCAGGCATCTTGCTACTGCATCTTGATGGTAGAGCCATCGTTGTTGTACGCCTGTCTTGCATGTGACTCTCTTCTTGAACACTGTGACTGTCCTCCATTGCTATGTCCATGTCTTTCGTGACTCGTGGCTGTTCTAAATCGATAGAAACAGTGTCTTCGTCATGAACAGCGCGAAACTCTTGGTCACTTGATCTGCTGTAACGTTGCACGTACTGAAGTGGTGGTCTCTCATCGAATTTAGCCGATCTCGTGTGCGTCACCCTCTTGGCATCTTCATCCCATATTCGAAGCCCCTTGATTTGATCCGAGTAACCTAGAAAAATACATCGAATCGCCTTCTTGGTCATCTTGGTCCTGTTCGACTTGTCGACATGTGCATATCCCTTTGATCCAAATACACACATCTCGGAGAGGTCAGGCTTCTTCCCGAAGATGAACTCAAATGGAGTTTTAGTCGGGTGACTAGCACATGGAACTCGGTTTGTCACATAGACTGCCGTGTTCATCGCCTCAGCCCACCAAATTTTATCCACTTGCATATGGCTGAGCATTGCTCTGGCCCGCTCTGTCAGTGTCCTGTTCATGCGTTCGGCCAGCCCATTCTGTTGTGGCGAATAGGGTACCGTCGTCTGATGCATGATACCAGATTTTCGACATACACCGGAGAAACGTCTGTTGACGTATTCCGTCCCGTTGTCCGTCCTGATACACTTGATCTTCTTGGACAGTTGATTCTCCATAAGTGCCTTATACTCTATAAAGCGATCCGTCACTTCCGACTTGTTCTCAATATAGTATGCGACTATATATCTCGAGTAATCATCAATAAAAGTCACGACAAATCTTGATCCTCCTCGAGACTTCGATTCCATAGGTCCCATGACATCACTGTGGACCAACTGCAACACCTCCTTGGTTTTCACGTGTCCGTATGGTGACTTCGGAAACGTCTTGACGGTTGCTTTACCCATGATGCACCCTTCGCAGATCTCGATATCATCTTCAACGCCTTGATTCTTCTTGATCTTTAATCCATTGACGCAACCTGCCATACCCTTGAGCATCTTCGTTGACAGGTGACCTAATCTTGCATGCCACACTTGTAGATCAGCCGCTCCTGATCCGTCACTTGATTCTTGCTCTTGAGATGTCTCTCCGCAAACGTTGGCTACCTCAGCCGGACTGCACTCTAAGACGTACATCTTGTTTCGTCTTGGTATTTGGGCAACGACTTCCGTGTTACTTCTGATCTGACAGCTCAGATCTGAGAAGATCACTTGTAGACCCCTCTTTGACAATGCCGATATTGACAGTAGCCTTCGGTCTAGGCCCGGCACCCATAGCGTTTCTTCGATCCTGATCACTTCACCAGTCTTGAGTTGCACGCGCACTGTCCCAACACCTTGCGCTTCCACTTCGCTGCCGTCTGCTATGGTGATCATGATCGGGTCCGTCAGTGAGTTTAAATTCGAAAACTCATTTCTGTCGGGACACATGTGGCTGCTTGCCCCACTGTCCAATAACCATCCAGCTGACGTCCGACTTGACGCAGTAAATGCTCTCTCTTCTCCAGATCGCTCTGTCTCCACTTGTTCAGCCTTGCAATCTTGACGCTTGTGCCCATATTTGTTACATCGGTAACACCTTCCCGAAAACTTTTCACCTCTTGAACTTGATCTCCCCATATGTCTGCGCGGACCTTTCTTGTACTTGGAAGTGTGCGTACTTTTCAGTGCGATTTCTTGGTGTTCTGTCCTCGCCATTCCATCGTACTCCCGTCTCAGCATTTCCTTAGCGTGAAACAGTGTCATTCCGGGCATGTTCTCAATTATCTTGACGATAGGGTCATAGTCTCTCGTTAGACTACCCAATAGGATGACCAAATGCTCATCCTGTGAGATCTCTTGTCCCACAGCTTGCATAGTCATGCACAGCTCGTCAAATCTCAGGAAGTGATCCATGATGCTTCCTCCCTTGGCCAACTTGAACTCATGTAGTTGCCGCCGCAACTGCACACGATTGTGCATACTTTGCCGCAGGAAGAAAGTCTTCAGTATGTCCCATGCTTTTGCCGTTGTCTCTGCCGTGCGCACCATTGACTGAAGATTTGTGCTGATCATTGTGGACACAATCGCGAAGGCCTTCATGTCGTTGACTTTCCAAGTTGACGCGCTTGCGTCTCCTTCTTCTGGGGCCTTCATAGCGTCTAGGTGCTCTAGCAATCCCTTCTTTGCCAGCCTCATCCTTGCGTTGAACTCCCACACGAAGTAGTTATCTTCGCGGAGTATGTCGCCCGCATCCGGCGTAGTTGGGCTCATAACCTTTTGACTTTTGGCAACAGCCAAGAGCGAGTTGAGGTGGGAGAGCTTAGAAGAAGGTAAAATGGAAAGTGAATTATCATCTAGCTAGGTCCTTAGTTCGTCTCGTTGTACTACTCTAAGCCTATCGATATCGACTCTATAATATTAGTAACAAAACGATGAGTCGATCCCATCGTTACACACTATCACACAGTGTCGTCCATGACATATGGTCATTAGTATCAGTAACCAACACCGTTACCAATAGTCCTGGCATTGAGAGATGTGACGATTACTACGACGACCACAAAAGTTTGTCAACAGAGACTGCCAAAGCTGATGTGCTAGGCATTCCCGTTACAACAGTCTGCGTGTGACGTTCACTGCAGCCACCGAGATGCCATCGGTGAACATAGCGCGGCCAGCGCACTGACACTTCATAACATCAGCGACTCGTCCCGATGATTCGAGCCCTACCTCAGATAGTTGCTGTAGCTTACCAGTTGATGCAGCGCAGCAGTATCGGATTGCTAAACCGTCAA